ATCATGACCTGAGCCCAAGTTGGACGCTTAACTGACTGAGCCACTCAGGCGTCCCAGAGATTTTTTTTTTTTAACCTAGAAGAGCTGGGAGCATTTTGGGGAAGAGAATCCACTGCTTTCAACAGAGTCTCAAAGGAAATTGTGAACTCATCCAGGGCGGACACCACGATTCCAATATAGCTCCAGCAACTGTGAGTCTGCAGTAACTGTTTGTGTTATGCTAGATGATACGGATGATATGGAATATAAATGAGAAAGACCTAAAAAAAAAAACCCAAAAAACAAAACAAAACACCTCAGGGCACCTGGGTTGCTCAGGGGTTAAGTATCTGACTCATGATTTCAGTTCAGGTCATGATCTCGGGGTCCTGGGTTGAGCCTTGTGTTAGGGCCCATGCTGGGCGTGGAGCCTACTTAATATATATATCCCCCAACCCCCAACTCTCTCTCTCTCTCTCTCTTGAAAGAAAGAAAGAAAGAAAGAAAGAAAGAAAGAAAGAAAGAAAGAAAGAAAGAAAGAAAGAAAGAAAAGCCTTTATAAAGATATTTAAAAAGATACTTGAAAAGTCTTTTTCATTCAAACTACCTGGATGTTAGAGCTAGAAACAAATGTGGTCTCTCCTCCTAATCAACACTCATTTTACAAATTGGGAAACATACAGATAAACAAAAATGCATCACTCAAGGTCTCCATTTGTGGGTAGCTCAGGTGGGGTCTAAACCCCAGATCCCTAAGTCCTATCATTCCCTTTGACCTATGGCTGTACTCACGTAAGGTAGCATGATTGAGGGCACATCTATACCAAACCAAATGCTATGGAGAAGACAGGAGACAGCAGATTCCATACCCCCCGGGTGCTTAAACACACAGAGAAACACCCAACAAAGCAAGGAATAATTTTAAGACTGTCTCTCACACTGAAAACTTTGGTGTCATTCTCATGACTTCTCCTTTACCACTACTGCACCTAAATACCACCCATTCCTAATTTGCAAAGATTTGTTCAATCTGTTCCTTCCTCTCCCCATGATTCAGAGAAAGTCTTCAGCATTTTGTTGAATAATCACAACAGGCTCCTAAAGCACCCTGTTTGTGGGGCACCTGGGTAGCTCAGTCGGTTAAGCGTCTGACTTCGGCTCAGGTCATGATCTCATGGTTCGTGGGTTCAAGCCCTGCACCAGCTCTGTGCTGACAGCTCAGAGCCTGGAGCCTGCTTCGGATTCTGTGTCTCCCTCTCTCTCTGCTCCTCCCCCACTCATGCTCTCTCTCAAAAATAAATAAACATTAAAAAAAAAAAAACAAAGCACCCTGTTTGTAACTGACCCCTCCTCCCTTCTGGTTAAGAGTCACGCTCGAGGAATTCTAGCATTCCTGAGGAAATCCAGCCACATCCCTGACTGGTAGACAACCTCGCGACCAGCCCACGACATGTGCCCCATTCTCCAGCTTCACAGGGCTACGTGCTACTGCCACAGGTGAACTGCTCTTTCATGAATCAACACACCCTGCTGACAAGTTCCCACACACTCTGAGATCCTGGGCAAACAGGTCCCCTCTGGGGGCTCACCCTTCGACCTGCTCATGGCACACAGGTGGTTGCTCAGTGTATGGCTCTTTCCAGGGTGAGGGACATTCCTGCCCTGGAAGCGTCCACAGTGCCCACCCATTCAATGGGATACATATGGCCACGTGCATGAATTCAGCAAGGCCACACACACAGGGTAAGCTGTTGTCCGCCACACCACTGGGTGGCTTCATAACTCCACCGCTATCCCACGATCGAGACGTGGAAAAAGAACCCACTCCTTGCTGTCTTACTCCTTGAAAGTGTGAAGTTTTAATATGCAGGCTGAGTTAAACAGAGGTGTAACTGAGGATGACACCGGGGACAAACCCTATTTAGGACAAGACAATGACATACGGGCTATAAAAATGGCTAATTAAGGACACTACTAGAAGGGAAGTCTCCATGTTAAAGCACAGTCTGAGAGTTCATCTAGTGACCCCTCGAATTCCTGGCTGAAGCAAGGTGGCCACGGCAAGCTGCCTGCCCCCTCTCAAATCCAGACCGCCTCTCAGAGCAGGTCAAACCGTGAGGGCCAGAGGAGGGCTCAGCTCTGCAAAGATATGAAGCACTGGCCACTTTAGGACCCCGCAACAATGAAGTGGACATCCAAGGATATGCTTAGATCAGTAACAGTTGTAACCAAATGCCTGGCTGGGTCAAAGGCAATTCTAACTTAAGCTACGCGAGAGAAACCCAAATATCTGTCCTAAATATGAGCTGTGGGGAAGTATACACAGAAGAAACGAAAAAACATAAAAATTATATAAAGCTTCAATTATCTATAGGTAATATTCTCAACACCTTTAAGTTCCAAAATAATCCTAAACTCTATGTGGAAAATACCTGAGGTAAAACAGAATCTTTGAGCAGGAAACAGAGAAAAAGTACTGTTTCAAATGTTTGGCAGACTTCATGCAAATGTTGAAAAGTGTGGACAAAACAAAAGGCTGAGAAAAATGAGAACCAGAGACTCCATGACAGGGGACAGCCAGCTCCCCCATCTTGCAAACAGGAGCTCTGAGGACCTAAGAGTGCCCACGTAGATGTGTTCCTCAATAGCTCCTGAGGGAGATGCTGTGTTTTGAGGCTAACCACAGCCCCGGCCTGTGGACTCTGCCTCATTCAGGGCCAACCCCCAGACTACCGTACCTGCACTGCACCCACAGCTTAGACCGCCAAAGTGCCATCAATCACTGTCACTTGTGAGGAACCTCAAGCTGCTATTTATTTGTCCTCTGCAACATCCCACCCTGGATGACCCCCTGGCCTTCCCTTCCCATACTGACCTCCCCATACCTTAACTGTGGCTCAAAAACGAACAGCTACAGGAACCTCACTAGCTCCTACAGTGGCCATCTCACGGCCCCCCAAGCTTCAGATTCTCTGTCTCCCCCTCTCCTCTCTGTCCCTCCCCCGCTCCTGCTTGGTCGGTCTCTCTCTCTCTCAAAAACAAACATTAAAAAAAAAATAATGGAACCCCTTAAATTCAGTTTAGCAGATATTTTCCTGGGATCTTAAACTAGAAGTTAAGAGTGGTCACAGCTACAGCAAGAACATTAATTTGACCAAGAATAGCTGGGATGAACTAGAAAGTATAAAAACAAGAAGTACATGCATATATATTAGCCAGACTTCCTCACACACCAATGAGGACCAAAAATACTCGAAGAAACAGTGTGCTTTACACCAGAGAACACTAGCGGCTGGTCAAGAGAAAGGTCCACAGACCCAAAGACTGAATCTCAAATGAAACTACTTTTGATTCCTGTGGTGAAGTGGGTAGAAGGATTAGTTTCCATTTAGTCTAGTCGACTCTGTCCGAGGCCTAATTACTCCAGGCTTCCAGGCTCTCTCTGGACACACCAGAACAACTTACAAGGTTTGTAGTTCTTCTCATGACAAGGGGAGCAGTCCAGAGGCTTGCCATGCATGATGGGGTCTCTTCATCATTCTAAAGAAAGAGAAACAAAAGATTCAGTAGAGACTAAGTTTGAATGCTTTAGGTATGATTCTGCCTGAGGAGTATCAGACTCGCCCATAGGAAGCATCTAATGTTCGCTCCTCTTTCCCACTCCCCAATATGTTAAGATCAGAAGAGAATCACATTTCACAATTCAGACATCTGAACGTAGCTAAAAGCATCCCGCTACCCTGAGGGTACTGAGGAGGTAGGCTGTCCCTCTGGCTTGTCCTACACTGTTCTTGTTCCATGTCTCTTGTACAAAATAACTGTCACCTTCTTCAGGGTAAGAAGGAGCCTATCACTCTCTTCTTTTGAAGAACCCTGTCCCCCCTCAGATTTAATTAGACTAGGAGCAGAGTCTCAATAAATCCCCACCAAATGAACAAAAATATCAGCCAGCTCAAGCCCTGGGGAATTGCTGTTGTTTTTCACATCACTTTTCCCGAGTACTTAGTGGAACGGGTAGAAACACACACACACACACTACCTTCAGGTTCTCTCCTTCAAGAAGGTCCATGAAGCCATCATCCTCATCAGACAAAGTGGCAGTCACAGGGGACTGGGGCATAAAAAGAGGAATGAAATTCCCTGGCTCGCTGCTCTCTCTTTCGTTCGAGGAAAGCTGGAAGACGAATTCACAGCTTGTTAATGATCAGACTTGATTTCCTTGGATGGGTCACTAGATTTTATGAGGAAAACATACTATATTTATTAGAACTAACATTTTGGCAGCTACTAAGCAAAGGATAACGTATCCTAAGATGAGAAATGATTTGATGTCTACACATAGTCCTGAGTAGAATCAGGCCTAGGAGCCTTCGCAAAAGACTCTTCCCAGAAGCGATTCACCTTACACTGGGATGTGGGGATGGCCTCTTTTATGAAGGGCAAGGTTTGTTTTATCAGAGGATTGTAATCAGTAAACACGGATCAACATGCAGGTTTTGATATAGTACTGTCACCTGATCCTAGTTCTTTAAACTTGGAATTCAAATGACAGGTGCTCAGTTTTTAACTGAGGAATTACTGTGTGCCAGACACAACGATACAATCTTAAGTGTTTACTCCCACTGACGCCTGACAACGCATTAAGGTGAGTTACTCCTTTTCTACTTATTTAACCAACCAGGAAACCAATGCTTAAGAGAGTTTACCCAGATCACACAGCTCACCTGTTTGACTCCAAAGCCCAAGCTTTTCTCCCCGCACATTCTCTGAGAACCATTCCGAGTAAAAATGGGGGTATCTCACTAGGCAACCCTGTTGTTTTTGGGGGAACCCTCCATCATAAAACTAATATATATTTAATATAGAAAATTTAGAAAAAACAACTCATAAATCTACCAGATAGAGATCAGCACTACTAATAAATAACAAACATTGCTGATAGTGAATTATTTCTTTCCAGGTGCTTCCCAAAGCCAGGAAAAATGTTCAGAGATATATTTTTTTTTCCCCACAGTAACAAGGCAGTCTCAACTTAAGTCCTACAAAGAATCCTTCAGAAGCCCCAAATCCCTTTGGATAGGACTTCATTAATCCTCAAGTGGCCTTCTGGTTTTTGGACTCAGTCACTCACCCAGGGAGGGATCCTCTCTGCCCCTGGCCTACACTGCTTTGGGCACCAGCTTGCTTCATAAAAGTTCTAGGCTGCCCCTGAGCCTCCACAAGTGCTCCTGAGCACGCCCTGGGCACACCGGCAAGTTCTCAGCCGCCAGAACCAAGAAGCTGGTAACCTTATTGTGGGACAACACACTGAAGGCTCATACTATAATACCAGTATTTGTGACCTGGATTTTCTGGGATCCCCAGTGAAGGTGTGATACAATAAATGACGGACAAGTCATCTATAATGAAGGATGGCCAGGTGACCACAATAAACTCTGATGCTGTGGTCTTCAAGGGCACACTATTTCGTTTTGGATACCCTGTACTTAAAAAAAAAAACTTTTTTTTTAATGTTTATTTTTGAAGGAGAGAGAGACAGCGCGCGAGCAGGGGAGGGGCAGAGAGAGAGAGAGACACAAAATCCGAAGCAGGCTCCAGGCTCTCAGCCGTCAGCACAGAGCCCGATGCGGGGCTCGAACCCACAAACCGTGAGATCATGACCTGGGCCAAAGTCAGACGCCTAACTGACTGAGTCACCCAGGCACCCCATGGATACCTTGTACTTAAAGGGTTACCGTGTACTCAGGAATCAGGAGATTCTATTAAATCCTGGTCTTCTATTTATCGGTATCCTTTGGCAAATTACCCGACCTCCCTTAACAGACTTTCCCAATCTGTAAAATGGGCTAACTTCACCTACTTCACACGCTTAGGAAGATTAAGACAAAAACATATGTGAAAATGCTTTGTGCAAATGCTAGACAGAGCAGCAATACTGACTGAACGAACCTGAACTTCAGACCAAAAGCCAGACTGGAAAGCTGTATGCAAGTTCCCAGGAAAACCTGGAAACCAAATGTGGTCATTCTGCTCAAATTTCCTCTCTAGTCTATAGCTATCAGATTGCCAGTAGGGAACTTTGGAAGTAGTGACAGCTTCTGTTTGGCAAATAAGTAACCCTGGGGCAAGTGGTCCCAAATACTATCAAGTAGCCTATAGGCAGTGGGTTCATTGGAATCCATAATAGTTCATTTGAGAGAGAGAGCGAGCGAGAGAGAGCGAGAGCAAGCAAGCAGGGGAGAGGGCAAAGGGAGAGAATCCCAAGGAGGCTCCATGCTCAGCAGAACCTGATGTAGGGCTCAATCCCACACCCTTGGGATCATGACCTTAGCCAAAATCAAGAGCTGGACACTCAACCGACTGAGCCACCCAGGAGTCCCCATAATATTCTTAATAAACCACCTTTGGAAGAAGCCAAGTGCCATCTCCAGACAAAACCACTCTGGAAGCACTGTGAAAGAAAGTTTTAAGCCACATAATCCCACCGTACACACATACAGAAGAATGACCCAGGATGCCTGTAGATTATTTCCCTAGAACTGACAAGATCAAATATTCCTTGTTCAAGTTCAGTATTTCAAACATACCATCTTTCACTCTGCTTCTGCCTGTCTGCTCTCCAGACAGCAAAAACACCAAAGATGTGACAGTCTAGTTTCAAATGACAAAGACAAGAGCTCTAGTGTCTTTGACTCCAGGTTAAAGAGGGTGCTTTAATTCTTCCCCACCAGGAACTCCCCTGTGAAAGCCAAAGCACATACCATCCGAGCTGGGGCAGAGTTCTGCCTCTGTGTGAAGATATCTTTACCCTCCTCAAGTCCATGAGAGTGCAGGCAGCCACGAGATGCCGGTCTTATTGGCTTCTTAAACTCAAAGGCTTCCTGCAAGACAGCAGAGTCGATATATCTTCCCCTGTCCATGAAAACCAGGGTCTTAGCTGTAGCTTGGGTGAGACAGTCAAGGGAGTAGGCACTGCTCACCTTTGCAACTGCCTCCAAACTAAGGGTTTACCCATTTCTGAGCTAACTCCAACAATGGATCTGTGTCACTAAGAATTTCACAGACTGTCAACAGCTAACTTCTAAAGCAGCATTTTTTTCTCTCACCACAAAGACATAAATATCTGCCAAGTATACAAAACACTGAGTTAATAAGCCAAATCGAATCAACAACTTCCTAAAATCTAAAACGAAGTGTTTCAATATAATTGCCTGTGAGTGGGAGTCAAAACCTTTTACTCTTGGGGCACCTGGGTGGCTCAGTTGGTTAAGTGTCCGACTTCAGCTTAGGTCATGATCTCGCAGTTAATGAGTTTGAGCCCCACGTTGGGCTCTGTGCTGCCAGCACAGAGCCTGCTTCGGTCCTCTGTCCCCACCTCTCTCTGCACCTCCCCAGCTCGTGTGCAAGTGCACTCTCTCAAAAATAAACATTAAAAAATAAATTAAAAAATAAATAAAAATGCTTAAAAAAAAAGCCCTTTTTACTCTAGATTTGAAGGCTTTGTGTTTTCCACCACCTTCCTACAAACAATTCTTTTTCTTTCCACTTGTAATTATTGTACTTCATACTAAAAGCAATGGAAAATAAAAAAAAACTGTTTCAGTCAACAACATAAATGAATTTCACATGTTCAATGAAAGCCAGAAGTGACAGAATACATTCTGTATGATTCCATTTACTTCAAGTTTAAAAGCACTTATAATCCCTCTACCCCAAAACAGTCACTTATTAAGTGCTCAGAGCAGTTAACAGCTAATATCAGAGTATTTACACGCCAACACACCACAAAGTACTTTCTATGTATTAACTCATATAACCAGCAACTGCAACCCAATCACCCCATTTTACAGATGAGGAAACTAGACCTTACAGGTTAAGCGATGTGCCTAAGATCATGCGAATTCTTTAACTACCACCTATGTATGCTGTTTACTCCCCAGAACAAAGTTCCAAGCAGGCAACCCTGAGAAAAGCCAAGTTCAGGGGAAAACCAGGCATCAGTACAGCTTCAGTGTGTTCAATAGAAAGCACTACTAGCCTTTTCCTGAGCTTACAACTCATCCCAGGGTGAGCACAAAGAGGCAAGGCCTGGACAGACCCTTCTAGATAAGCTATTCATGGATATAATTATTCCTAAGGGCTGCCATCTGAGCAACACCTCCCTGCCAGGAACCATTTTAAATGCTTTATATACATTATCTTATTTAATTCCCATAATACGCTACAAGTTACTGCTACTCGTATTCAAAGAAAATGAAGAAGCCAAAAAAGAAGTAATGGGTCAAGGTCATACAGCTAGTAAGCAGGATTCAAATCCAAGTTTCTCTGACTACAAAGATGATGCATGACTTTGGTGAAGGTCTAGTCTCCCAGAAAGCAGCCCAGCCACTTTTTTGTAAGCCACTGACACTTGTGGCTTTACCTCTAGCCTAAGTTAGTACATCGACGCCACTCACGTTTTCCTTGTTCTCATCCTGGTCCATCAGCTGAAAGACATCATGGTCAAGAGAATCAGAATGACTCCTCTTCAGGGCTGGGCTACATCCCAAGAGCTTCTGCTGTCAAAAGGAAAAAAGACATTAGGGCACATTAAATGAAAATTCAATGGAAATTCAGTTTCAAAAGAAAAAAAAGTGGTGGTGGAGGGGCTAAATCCTCACACACTGCAGGAGGAACCAAGAAATGTGGCCAGGGTTCCACTTTGCAGTAACACGGGGTAGAAGATCCCACTACATGGCTTTACACCTAACCTTACAAGGTAGGTCTCCAGCCCTTTCAGTAGAGATTGAGGTCCCAAAATATCATTTGCGTAAAAAGAATACTTCCTGGTATTCTTTTTGATAAATACTTTCCTGGTATTCATTTGATAGTAATAAATGAAGGGAAATGCCCATTACTGAGGCTGTTCAGGTAGGGTGTTTTGAGTACTTATGAGACGAAGGAAGAACAATCTTTGCTGTCTAAATTAAGATCACACTAACAGCTAAGATGAATGTCAATTAGCTAAAAATAAAAAAGGGAACTAACTTACAGGTAGGGAATTTATTCTCCTCATGGGATTTCCAAGGCTGCAATGAGATCAGAGGGTAAACAATGAGAATAAAACAAGAGAGGTATTCATATGAGCAGATGCAGTGTCTAGCCTATAGTTTGGGGAAGGGGGCAGACAATCACATTCCCATTTTAGGCAAGATGGAAGAACAGATTTCTGAAGCTGTCCCGTTCTCACAAGCGCCCCCAACATTGGGCTTCTAGGTAAAAAGAACAAGCCCAGGTCTTCTCTTAAAATACCCATGTTCTTTAAGGCTATGATGTCAGAGGGTGAATTAAGGATTTGGGGGAGACTTAAACACCAAAAATTACAGCTAAAATAAAGGAAAGGAAGTTTTAAAAACTGCTGACACAAACTACTCACTCTCTAAAGGCACCAGACTTATTTCTAACATGCAGAAGTCTTAGTAGGGTCAGCTAAATCCAAGGCTCCCATACAGAGCACAACGAATTTCATTAAAAAATTAAGAAAAGTCTTTCCTAACTTTTACTTTCTTAACAAACTTTTAAAAGCAGTGAATACATACTTTTCTTTACTGTCCAAGGGCCCAGGAGAATCCAGACAGAAGCCTGTGGGAAATAACAAAATTTCTCAGGAAATAATACACAAAACACCATTTTGTCATTAAATAAACAAAAACACTACTAGTACTGTTTCTTTGAGCCATCACCCAAGACTCAGGGCTTGGACTTTTGGCAGAATCAAAGTGGCGTCTCTATTTGATTGTCAAAAACTTTCTATTTGCCCCAAGTCTTAACACTTCCACAGTAAACCTACCTATCTCATTTTCCTACTTACAAATACCATCAAGAGAGTAGGTGGGGAGAATTAAATACAACCTTCTAATGTTTGGTTGGTTGTTCAGATAGAGGTTACCCACGTAACTTTGTTTCAACCGTGGAAAGAAGAGGTACCAGTTTTCTGGAAGTTTCGACTTCAAATATTTTATTTTGTCAGATCATACGTGTAATTCGGGGGTTTGGAAAAATACACTTCTCAGTCAGTCATATGACAAACAAGGCAAGTATTCATTGCCTTGAACAAAAGTACACCAAGCAAGGTGCCCATCTCACTGAAGGAAGCAAGGTGGCAAAGACGCTGCTCTCAGTACGCCCAGACCCACCAGCGCCTGCCTCTCGTGATAGCCATGTAACTTTGCAGGAAGTCAAGTGCTAGTTCTGATAGTCTCACTTGCCACACTGCCACAAGTAAGAATTCTATCCCTAGCTCCTGGGGCACCTCGGTGGCTCAGTCCAACTCTTGGTTTGAGGTCAGGTCATGATCTCGCGCCGTTCGTGAGTTCAAGCCCCGCATCGGGCTCCGGGCTGACAGTATGGAGCCTGCTTGGGACTCTCTCTCTCTGCCCCTCCCCCCCACTCCCTCTGTCTCTCTCTCAAAATAAATAAATAAACTTAAAACAGAAAAGAATCCTCTCCCTAGTTCCTAAGAAGCCTACATTTTAAGAACTTTGCTCTTGCAGTTCCCTAACCTAAAGCATCTGTGTAACTATAAAACGCTGCAGTAACATAAGTTTACGAGTTAGAATAAAATGCACCAGCACATTTCCTCCATAGCAGGCTCACTGAAACAGTTTCATTATACTTCCAATAATTTGACCCTGCATTTCAACCAATACAATTTTCTGATCTTGGTGTTATGGTTCATGGTATGCAACTACTTTACTCACACATCCTCAAGATCAAGCACACACCACCTCCTTGCAGACACTTGTTTCCCACCATTGTAAACTACCACAGGGCCTTCTTTGTCCTGCTTTAAGAGTGTTTGTCACTGAATGCCATGACTTTTGTTTATGGTCTGAACTAGTCCCCAATCTAAGTACTAGGTGAAGCACATATTTCAACAAATTCCAAGTCTTGATCCCTACGTGATGAATGTTGAAGACTAAAGGGATACCTGAATCGGTTGACTCAGAGGAGCCCATTCTCTGCAGACTGCCGTTTCTCACCTCCAGCGGCTGTTCACACTCACTGAAAGCAAGAGAAATAACTCTATTTCTAAAACATAATTACAAGGTTACATACAGGAAACAGGCCATGAGGTTGGCAAGTATCCAGGCTAATAACCATCTTGTTCTAGGCCACACCACAGACCCCCACTTTGCCACCCAAAACACCCAGTTAGCACTTGAATATAAATGATGAGAAAGGAGTGAGTAGGCATGGCCTGGGTCACATTGTAGACAAGATGACTATGATGTTGGAATATTTCCTGAAGTGAGAGCATGCGTTCTAGGTACGGTGCTGGGAGCAGGGATGAAAGATCAATTGGACAAGTTACTGCTTTTCAGAGGTTGGAAAACGTACAAGACGTGTGCTTACAGAGAAAAATGGGATGTCCAAAACTGAAGTGAAAGCAGCTCCACCAGAAACATCGTGGGATGCACGTTTTGCTAACAAGGAAAAGTCCAGGGAGCTTTTGAGGATGGAAACAGGAGTAAAAAGGCCCGGCCTTAGGAACGCATGGGTCGACATCAGGAATGTGCATGGGGTGCAGCACTGGGGGGATTTTGCACGTAGGCCAAGTAAGAAAATGCCATGTCTCTCTGTAGAGAAGGAACAAAGCTCACAGGAAGCCAAGATCCTGCGAGGTAGTTCAGCAAAGGGTGGAAGTGAGCGCCTGAAAGGGTCTGCTTTGCCCCCGTGGGGGTAGATTTCAAAGAGCTTCCCGAGATTGGGACAGAAGAGTACAAGGCAATCCGAAAGGGGTGGCCAAGCTGGGGAACCCGGGCCGACCCCACCCCCTACCGGGCCCGGCTCGGGGCTGAGGGCGGCTCTGGAGGGTCCGAACGGCCTCTCCCGCCCAACATTCCGCCTGGGGGAGGGTGCACATGGCGGGCCCCAGCTCAGCAGGGCGGCCCACGAGCGGCGGACAGGTCTCGCCCCTCTCTGGGCCCGTTTCCCGGCCTGATCCCCCCGAGAGCCGTCTGGGAGCCCAGCGGTCTGCGGCAGAGCTCCCCAGTCCCTTCTCACCTGCCCAGCCCCTGCAGCTGGTCCATGGTGACCGTCAAGTTGGTGACAGGCGACAGGCCGCCGCAGGCTGGCGCGCCGAACAGCGCTTTCACGACTGGCTGCGGCGTGGGAGGGGGACTGCAGGCGAAGAGCAGGCGACGGCGGTGCGGGGGCTCCGGGCCCAGTTCCATGGCGGCACCCGGCCTCCCAGGGCTCCCGCTCCCTCTTCCTCCGCCTCCGCCGCGCCCGCCCCGCCCCGCCGGCACCGGCCTCGTCCGCGCGGCCCGCCGCGGGCGCCCGCGGGTCAAACACAAACACGACCCCGCGGTTCAGGGACGCTACTGCCGCGGGTAAGCGGCGCGGACGGGAGGGTGTCTGGACCCGGCAAGCGCCAGTCACATGCACGGGTGCTTCCCCCGCACCCCCGCGAGGCCGGCGGGCGGGCGGGCGCCGGCAACCTGAAGATTAAATCCAAACAAACACCGCGGGTCGGGAAGGGAAAGCGGCCAGAGCCGCGAGGCAACGGCCAGGGTTCACACTTTCTTCGCTTTCCTCTCACCCCCTTGTCCAAACCGGGGTCATAGAGCACCAAGCGGACCTTCACCTCCCTTCCGGACTGTCGCTGCGAGGAAAGCCTTTCGCGGTAATAGCTGCTCACTAGGGACCGCAGCTGCCCCGCCCCCCTTTCCTAGTTGGCGCCAAACGGAATCCACCAATCAGTAAGCAACTTCTCCTCCTCGCTCCCGAATGGCAGCTAAGCTGGACCAATGAGAGGGGAAGAAGGAAGGAGCTCGCGGGGCTGCGAGGTCACCCGCTCTCCGAAAGGGGCGGGGCCTAGAGGAGACCGGAGCCGATCCTAATGAGAGGGGGCTCAGAGGTCAATGAAAACTCCCAGCGGAACCTGCGAGGCGCGGAAAGCGCCGAGAGGCCCCTCTTGCCCAGTTGCATTCTGGGAAGCGTAGTTCCCACCCCGCGCTGGGATCCAGGCACCTCCTACGGGCTTCGGCACAAGGCCGGTAGTTCCGGCCCCGGCGCCCCGCATACCGAAGGGACGCGCGGGTTGGATAGAGCCGTCCTGGCCACTGGAGGCCAGACCGGGCCCAGCCTCGGCTCTACCTATAACAACGGTACTGTGAGCTCTTCTCTTCAGCCCCCGGCCTCCAGGTCCCAATTTTGTAACGAGGGCAGGAAATGAATGTCCCAAGACTGGACTCTGCCTCCCCGAACTCCAGGCCCAGACAACCAAGCGCTAGCGCTCCAGTGCAGCAGGTTGTTAGAGCCCCTGCGCGCAGTGCTGGCCACAAACTGACCATACAAGACTTGAACCCCACAGTACAGGCTGCGGGACTCAGCATGCTTTGCTCACCTCCATTTTATTTTTTTATATATTTTTTTAAAACTTTTTTTTTTCAACGTTTTTTATTTATTTTTGGGACAGAGAGAGACAGAGCATGAACGGGGGAGGGGCAGAGAGAGAGGGAGACACAGAATCGGAAACAGGCTCCAGGCTCTGAGCCATCAGCCCAGAGCCTGACGCGGGGCTCGAACTCACGGACCGCGAGATCGTGACCTGGCTGAAGTCGGACGCTTAACCGACTGCGCCACCCAGGCGCCCCACTCACCTCCATTTTAAGCTCGTACTGTATTTTTCCAGAATCAAATCCTTCTTCTCTACCCTTTCTTACCCTATTGGGAGCTCCTAGATAGCAATGCCGTAAATATAATAACAGCTAACACATAGTGCTTCTGTGCCAGACACTGTCCCAAGAGTTTTATCGGTATTAATTCATTTAATCCTTTCAACTCTGAGGGAGGAATTGTCCCCATTTTATAGGTGACCATATTTATTTTTATATCCCCTGCATCAGTGGCAGGTCCTAGAATGAATGATTTTATAAGAGGGCCATAGGTACAGTGATCAGGCTGCAAAGAGAACTTGTCTGTAGACAGCATGTTCAGAGCCAACGCTCTGCTTTACACTGTATATTTAATTTAGGTGTCTGGCGGAGATTATGACCCTTACCTCTGCTTAGGGCCAACTATTAAATTAATTAAATGAAGTGGTTTGTTTTTTTTCTTTTTTAAAAGTTTATTTTTATTTTTTTTATTTTTTAAAAATTTTTTTTCAACGTTTATTTATTTTTGGGACAGAGAGAGACAGAGCATGAACGGGGGAGGGGCAGAGAGAGAGGGAGACACAGAATCGGAAACAGGCTCCAGGCTCTGAGCCATCAGCCCCAGAGCCTGACGCAGGGCTCGAACTCACGGACCACGAGATCGTGACCTGGCTGAAGTCGGATGCTTAACCGACTGCGCCACCCAGGCGCCCCTAAAAGTTTATTTTGAGAGAGCTAGAGTGTGAGCAGGGGAGGGGCAGAGAGAGGGATTGTCAGCGTTGTCAGCACAGAGCTGGACTGACAAGGGGCTCTAACTCTTGAAACTGTAAGATCATGACCTGAGCCAAAATCAAGAGTCAGATGCTCAACCCACTGATCCACACAGGCATCCCTAAATTGTTTCTTTAAAAAGCTTTTGCTTTCAAAGATTTGTACTATACAAATAATACAAAATAACCGTAGCCTTAGAAAATACAGATAGCACAATTTAAAATATCATGTGTAATTTTACCGCCATCAAAGACACAACTGTCAACATTTTAAGTTTTTTGCATGTTTGTGCATTGTAACTATACAATCCATATTTGTTTCAGAGACCAATAAAGGAATGGAAAGCTCCCCCTCCTTGTCTGAGCAGACATTGCCTGAATGAGATCAGCCCAAGTGGATTAACATACTGAAGCATTTCCACCAGCGAGTCCAAGTACTGGAATAAAAACATGATGTGTCAGAAATGTGAAATTGAAGCAAAAGGAAAAGCATAACGTCACCAAACCCTTTCCCCCATTCACGTCGGCATGTTCTCCAAAATCCAGGAGGAGCAGTAGGGGAAGGGAAGAAACCTGCACTGAACTGACCGGTCTGAGTTCCAATATGCTTCTGCTTTGAGGCAAGTCACGTTTTGCTCACTGGTTCAGTCTCTACTAAGAGCCTGCCAATTTGCCAGATCCAAACAGGGTCAGTGTTTCTCTGGACATTTGCCTGAAGTGTCCTTCTCACCTCCATTGTCACTTCAGTCAGCAAACATCCACCTTTCCAAGAAAGCTCTACTCTCAGACATCCTAACTGATATCTTCCCCTGGTATCATCCACCATCCAGGCACCGTATGTTCACATTTGTTTCTGTGATTATTTAATCAGGTGTGTCTACCCAAATGACTATAAACTTAAAAGGATAGGGACTTTGCCTTCTTTCCCCCTTATAGTACCAGCCAGTGCTTGGCTCAGGGGACTCCTCAGTACATGCTACAAAGAAAAAGTGGGATCTCTGTGGGGGGAAAAAATACAAAAGAAAAAGTATGAATGCTTTGAGTGTTTAAGAAGGGAATCTGATCTTATCTAGTATGTCCTTGAGGAAATATCCAGAAGGATAAGCCCTTAGGAGGTGGGAGAGAGTGTTCTGGGCAGAGGGATAGGCCCTAAGCAAAGGCTCTGAGGCTGGAAGGAGTCCCCTGTGCTTAGCAGAGAACAATGGGAGAAGAGGCTGAGGAAGGCCCAGACTCTGCAAGGGCTTGCAGAACTTGGACTTTATCTCAAGGGCTACGGGATTTACATTTACATAAAAAAAAATTTTTTTTAAACATTTATTTCTTTCAGAGAGCTAGAAATGCCCCTACGTTTGCATTTTAAGAAGATAACCCTGGCTGCAGAGTGTGGAATTGATTTCAGAGCAGCAGTGGTAGAGCTGGGGAGACTAGTTTGGGGGGGATCACAAGGTCCTGCTGTGAGATGGTGGCAACTGGGGAGGAGGTGATGCAGAGGGGGAGAAGTGGGCCTCCTGACAGAGGTGGTTCCTGACAGAGGTGGGCCACACTGTTTCTCTCAGTGAGATGTCCCAGCAGGGTTCCAGTCTCCTCCTTGCCACTCCTTGGCAACCACAGAAACTTGACTTTATTTACTTATTTTTAAATGTGTATTTATTTATTTTGGAGAGAGAAAGCACACTGTGGGGGCTGGGGGGAGAGGACAGAGAGAGAGAAGAGAGAATCCTAAGCAGGGTCCATGCTGTCAGCTCAGAGCCCAACTTGGGGCTTGAACTCACAAACTGTGAGATCATGATGTGATCTGAAACCAAGAGTCAGCCACTTAACAGAGGGAGCGACCCAAGCAGAAACTTGGCCTTTAAATCTGCATTAGGTATTGGAGTGCCCTATTCATTTTGTTTGGAGAAGGGATTTCCCTTGTTAGAAACAAACAGGAAGTCCAAATAATTTCCCATCAATTTATCAGACTTCATTTCTTTGGAAAAAGAAACATTCCTTTTCTGATTTAATGTTTTACATGTGCCCATTCTCCTTTATCCCAACTGTACTGGTAGCAGGTTTGGGTTTATTTGCAGGAGCCTCCCAGAGGCTGGAAGGATTCAGTTTAAACTAAGAGGGAGGGTCAGAACTAACAGAGCTTTCCAAGGTGAAATGAGCTATTTAGGAGGCTGTATAACCAGTGTCTTAGATGCTGTCAGGTGAGGAGTACCTACAATCAGAGGTTCCCAAATTCTGGTTCTACATCACAATCATCTGGGGATTTATTTGTTGAGTAGATCATCCGTTTATATGGTCCAAATTCAAGTGGTGCCCAAAAAGGCCTAGAATAAATCTTCTTATCCCTGTCCCAGCTACCCTGTTTTCTTTCCTGTTGGTCACCACTGTGGCCAGGTTTTTTTGTTTTGTTTTGTTTTGTTTTTTGTACCTCCTGGAGTCTGTGTCTATGCTAACAAGTATGTATTCTCCAAAATATACTTTTTAAAAAAATGTTTATTTTTGAGAGAGAAGAAAAAAAACATGAGCAGGGGAGGGGCAGAGAGAGAGAGAGAGAGAGAGAGAGACAGAATCTGAAGTAGGCTCCTTCTTCACTGCCAGCACAGACCCTGACGTAGGGCTCAAACTCATGAACTGCAAGACCATGACCTGAGCTGAAGTCTGATGCTCAACTGACTGAACATTTCCTGCCTCTCCCATATACACTTTTGATTTTTCACAGACAGTGATGTGTTACAAACATTGTCCTGAACATTGCTTTTTACTACTTTATATTATCTTGGAGTTGGTTCATTATTACAGAGAGTTCCTTATTTT